ACTATCACCACCTGTCACGCTTTCGCCCTTAACTATTACTTAACTGTGGTAGAAACAGTTCTTAGTAAGCCTTATTAATAAGCCTTAGTAATATTTATTGAACGGAAATTAATACAGTTCTTATATGTGGTTATGTATGAATCGGTATTACAATACGAAAAATTGTGCAAAATCATAAGAAAAATATTTTTTGAGAGTTCTTATTAACTAACGTATACATAGTTTAAATTGATTACGAAATGTCTCCTCCTTTCCCTCTCAGAAATGAGGGGAGGCCTGAGCCCAGCAGTGGGACGTATATAGGCTGTAACTTTACTTCATTTTACTTACGAAATGTTTCCTGACATGTACTTAACTCCCGCCGTTGAGCCGCGCGTCAACTTATAGTGCATACGGTACCTATACGCTTAGATAGCCAAAAAAATCACTTAGCGGTCAGCCGCCGTAGAGTCTACATTACCTGATGATGCCTCGTGTAGAGGCGAAACACGTGTCGTATTATCGTCGATAGTGTGTCTTGTCTGGAATAGTGGTGTTGGGAGTAGTGGTGCTGAGACTAGTGGTGACGGAGTCAGTGCATGCAATTGAGGGAGGGCGGGAGGTGCTCTTCAATCCAGGTAAGACACATCATTGTATTTGTTTAGCGGAAGGTTGCAAAGAAATTTATATTTTTATTTTTTATTATAATGGATTTCCGCAAAGTAACGCCTGATTCTATCAATTAAATTGTTTCTATTTCGTAGCTTATTCGACTACCTGCTTTCGATTTCGGTTGTTTGTTATTTGCTTTGTGATTTGGTTAAGGTTGAATGGTTTTATATTGGCTTTCATTTTAGGATTTGTGTATTTTCTTGGATCGGTTTAGTTGATTTGGTTGGTATTCCTTTATACATATTTAGACTCCGGCTTTGATTTTGGATTTTGTTTATTTAGAATCGTGAATTGGTTTTCGTTGTTTTAGGTTGTTTAACAATATTTTAAAGGAATATTAATAGTATAAATAGTGTATACGGTACCTATATACTTACTTCTGTTTTCGTTGGTTATTTTATATTGACTACTGCTTTCGATTTCGGTTTTCTGCGATTTGTTTTGTGATTTGGTTTAAGTTGATTCGATTTTTTTGGCTATCGTTTTCGGATTCGTGTTGTGTCTTGAATTGATTTTGTTGTTTTGATTTTAAATATTATTTAAAAAGAATATTTATTCTTTTGGATATTTTGGATTTGCTTTTAAAAAAAATATTTAAAAGGAAATTTAATTTCTTTTAGGTATTTTAACGTTCTTTTATAAATAGGTTTTTTGTTACTTCATAATGCCTCGCAAACGTAAATCCAGCCTTTCAAGAGTATCTTCTCAAAGACAAGCGAAAAGATTAGCTCGATCGCAAGAATCTTTAGAAGATGCTGAACTGAGAAGACAAGAACAAACAGACCGTCAGGCTGCTTTAAGAGCTTCAGCAATCAGTTCAGAAAACTGCATCTCTGACGAATTTAGCTCAGTTTCTTTTCAAAAGTCTGCATCCCTGACGGATAATTATGCTCAGTTTCTTTTAATTAAAAATATCCCATTTCCATTTGGAATAAACAGGCTATTTTCATGCTTTCCTATACGCTGCGTTTCAAAACATTTAAATAGGCTGACGAATCAATTTTGCTCAGTTTCCTTTTAATGGCTGCATCTCTGACATATCTATAAAACTCAGTTTTCTTTCAATTCTAAAAGCAATGGATAGTTAATTTCCCAGTGGCCATGCGGGCGAAGCCGCGAGTAACAGCTAGTAATAATATAGAAAAAATATTAAGTACAAAATTTAATACGATAAAAGATATAGGTCATTGTTCATTTAGAAATTTTAAAATAAATTTCTCAGTTTTATAAACTTCACTTCGTCACTTTTATAAACTTTAAAATGAAATTAAACCTTCAAAACTCAATCACGCATAGCACAAATCAATAAAAGAGTTAATACATATTACAATTATGTCGCCGCCAATAGTTGAGGACCCTTTTCTCATATATTTAAATTAATTTGTTCTAATTTGATCCTTATTAGTATGAACCAGGGGCTTTTAAAACGTAGTGAAGAAATTTTGAAATGTAAATATAAATTTGTAATCTAAAAAACACATGTGGTTCCAGTAGGAAGTCCATGTATTTTAAATTTTTTAACCGGATCGTTTTAGAAATGTATCAGGTAACTGCCATAGTCAATTTATATTTACGTTTGTTGTCTTTGATTTCGTAGTTTATTTTATGAGAAATATGAAACACTAGTACCGATATACTAGATTAGTACCATAGAAAATTCCCTTAAAATTGTTCAACAAATATAAAATAAATTAATAAAATACATAAAAAAGTATCGGTGCCTCACATGTGCCATAAAATTTCTGTAGGTACATTATTTGGTTAAAATAATAATTTTAGAGTTTAAAAAACATGAAGTTGGCATCACTGAGCCGGAGCACCCCAGTACCAGCTGCTTCCATTTGACCACACTTTACACAGAGAGAGGCTCAAATCATCGTCAACCAAGTTCTTTCTGATCGGCTCAATTCACTGGCTTTACGGCATAAGCATCTTCTAACACATATACCACGAGCAGTGATTCACGGAGGCACGTTGTTCGGATTAAGATTTAGGAATTCTCTGTTTTTAACTGTCTTACTCCTACTAACTAACTATAACAACACATCGACAACATTGTGCTGCTGTTTTACACAGGTTTGACCAGGATAATCCTACCAATCCTCTGAATTCACAGAATGTGAGAGAATTGTCATACTCCGGTGGAACCGACTCATTCGTGTGTTCGTTATAGCTACAGTATGGCTCACCAACTTACCGCATATAGAAATAATTTTAAAATTTTGTGAAAAAATTGTCTTATCAAATTTTGACTATTGTTAAAGATAGTAAAATGTTACGTTTTAAAATTTTATTCCCTTATAATTGTAGTTTTGAAGTTTCCTATTGCTTGGAAATATTTAAAGTACCAACAACGTAAAAGTAATGTAAAGTAAAGTTACAGCCTATATACGTCCCACTGCTGGGCTCAGGCCACCCCTCATTTCTGAGAGGGTTTAGGGCAAGGAAGTGTCCGCCGCGCTGCCCAAATGCGTGTTGACGAACTTCACATGTCTTCGAAATATTTTTTTTTTCTTATTCCTCAGACATGCAGGTTTCCTCACGATGTTTTCCTTCACCGCTGAGCACGTGGTAAATCAGCACTTAAAATTGCAATTAACAATTTCATTGGTGCCGGCGGGGATCGAACCCGGGTTACTCGCCTTCTGTTATATTTACAGCGAGCGTTAACCACTGAGCTACCACGGCATCTCCAACCAACAACGTAGATTCCGATAAAATGGGCAAACTATTTAAGGACTTTAATATTTTTCGAATATTAAAATTAAATATATAAACAATCCCAAGGACAAGATATTTATTAACTTGTCATTAAAAGGTTCCAGCCGTAATTAACCTACCATGGACACCCTACCCTATCTTTAGTAGTAGTTAAGTTTTTTCGCTATCCTGAAAGCTCACGTGTTATTCCCGGTTGAACCCCGAACGGGTACGGTCGTGGCCGTCACCCACGAGTGACAAAATTACACTGATAAAATTTTACGTGTCGCTGTGACAGCGCGCCAATTTTGTGACTTTTTTAAATTTGTGACATTTCATCAAGTTTGTTTTCTTGGAAAGGGGTAAGTTTTCATTCCTACATAGTTGAAAATGTATCAAATTAATTATTGTAATGTAACATATTTACATAAAACTATAAAAGTTTCAACTGACGTAGTATTTTTTTTTACACGTCTTTTTTTGGAAATCCATCTCTTCAAATTTCACACGTCTCTAAAAATTCTCTCAAATAGGTATAAAATATTATGTATATGTAATAACTTTTTACTTATCATTCAACACCTAGCGCCAACAGTAATGTTAAATTATAAACGTGTAATATAAGTATATTATTATTATTTTGAACAGGTTTCAAATATGATACTAATATTCAAAGTTTAAAAGCTAAGTTGCCTAATAAGTATAAAACATTTGCCTAATTAAAAAGAAATAGTCTATGGGTAGGTTATGCTCAACCAAAGACTAAAGTTTATACTCAACCGTAATTTTCAAACATCGCTTGATTTAGTTAATAAAATAAGCTTTTTTTTAAATAGGCCAAACCAAATTCTTCATTCGAATTTATATATAAAAGTCTCAAATTTTACATGCCAAAACTGTTAATTAATAAAGAATTGTAATGTAATGTACACATCGACATACTTAAATCCTTTATGGTATTCCTTTTTGAAGCCAAATCTATCATTTAGGCAACACGTTTCTTCACATCTTCATCAGAAAAATACAATACTTCTCACAAATAACAAAGTTAGATTTTTAGTGAAGATCTTACAAGTAGGTAAATGTTAGAATGCAACTTTATTTAAAAATATTAAATTATACATTTATTATAAATATAATAGTTAGGGTTTTTAAAAATTCCAGTTTTATGGAGTATATGCCCCACCACTGGCCACATTCCTCCTTTATATTCAGTACCTACCTGTTGTCGTACTTTACAAGTACTTGACATATTTTTTCTTTCAAAATTAGCATTTAAAATTACAATTATCAAGTGATATTGACAAGAATCTAATTAGGGTGAGCTGTCACAGCTATTAAAGGAAAATAAAATGAATATATACTTCAATTAATAAAATTAAGTGACAAAACAACCAAAACAATATGTTAAGAAACAACTTCCTTGCACATCAATGAAAATAGTTAACAAACCGAACACGTGTTGTGAACGTGTATTAATAATTAAATTTATAATTCGCAGATGCCGAAGCCACGCGAGATCATGAGCAGAGAAAGTTTATTTTTATAATAATAGCGGAGCCACATGCGCAAACCCAAGAGCACACCACATGTCAATTACTACCTCTACTTAGAGATTACTGAACTTAGAGGCAATTGAACTTATTAAAATGGCGGACTATGATATCATACCTTGTTACGACGACAATGAATTGTTTCAAGAGAAAAACGATGTAACCGATTTACACGCTTATTACATGTCACAGTTTAACCTGGAACTTGAAAACGGAAAAAGTAAAGTGAAAGATAATTTCAAATATGGCGTGGAAGAAAGTTTCGATTTTGAAGTACTTGACTGGAATAGCACAGATAACAAAGATTTTGAAATGATAGATGATGTGCTTGATAGTAACATTAACGATCAAAATATAAAAGAGGTTTTATTGGATCTTGATGGAATAGAGTTTGATGAGAGTTATAAAACAGAATCTTCTGTAAAAAGTAAAGAAATAAACTCTAATAATGAATACATAGACGATGAATCTTTGATAGATGAACTTTGTAGAGAAGATGGTGAGTCGTGTATATCCCCTGAAGTTTTTAATGAAGAATATTTGAATACAATAACGCAAGAAAATCTTTTGCCACCTATAGAAACTGCATTTTCAAAACGCTATTGTAATTTTAATAATGCAGAAGAATATAATGTTCAAGAATGCAACGTAACTATGTCACATATACCTACAAACACACCTGTTATAAATAGCTTAGAACATTATAGCTATCCAAATAATATACTTAATAATTTGGATAACGAAAAAAAATACATTTTACCTGATACTCCAACGAGTTTCACAGAATTTAATTTTGACAGAACCGAAAGGAAGGCCTCTATTTGTGATTCTATAGAGAGCGATGTGCAAAGCTCATGTTACTATGATGAAAATTCAGAGAATTTCAACGAAGATGAATTATTTATTAATTTAGATGATTTTGGTTTAACATTTGAAAAGGATAATGATTTCAACAACGTAGTTGACAACAGTAGGGTCGATAGTAGAAACGATAAGAAAGCGGACAGAGAAAGGACTCAAGGTAAGCTATTTTAAGTATCGAATATATTAACAGAGAGTGGCTAATATATTTTATAAGAACTAAAAAACACACCAACTTAAACTAAGATTATCTATCCGAAACAAAACTCGAAAAGAGTTTCTTGAGAGATAAATACAACATTTGTTTACATTTCAGGTGAAAGAGTTTGTTTATGGGAGAACTGTTTGGAAAGATATCCGAGTCAAAACACACTGGTGGAGCACATAGAGAGAGCACACGTCAACACATATAAGGGTGAGTTTTTATTTCTATTCTATGCTTTTAATTTACTAAGTTAAGATCTATTTTTGATTGAAGCTCTAGATTTTGTTTACGTTCAGTTAGTTTTATTCAACATACACTCATGTTGACGAAATAAAAGAAAAGAGATAAATATACGTTATACAACTAGATAACGAAGCCGCTGTTACGTGTAAAAGCCGATAGTCAAACTTATGTTTGAAAAACATGTTAAGAATAATGAAATTGCAACTGCTGGAGAAAAATATTCGACTTGGAATTTCTTGCCGCTTCTTCTCTTCTCACAAGGGAAATTTTTTTTGTGGTAGAGCCACGCTGCAGTTTAATTATGGTTGTAGCATCAATATGTCAACTCGACCGAGGAAGGACCTCACTCTTACATAATACCAGCATAAAGTAGCAGCTTAGTGAGCTTAATGCTATTGTTTTGTTCCCTTTTTACTGGAAATTAGACATTCCATCTTAGTCCTCAGTTGTGACGCGTCTGCACTTTGATTTGATAAATGCAAATGTCTATGGGTCACAGCATCCACTTACCATCACGTGGAATATTTGATCTTTGTAAAGGCTACTTTTAAATTAAACATGTTTGACTTAACTATATAAGTGACATTAGCCATCATGCTTACATGCTGGTTTTTAACTCAAACTATAATGGTGAAACGAGGTCGTATATATTTCATTAGCCTTTTAGGTATAAGATGCCTACGCCCAATAAAAGCACATGTATGTTATTTTATTTATTCTGATATGATATTAAGAAGTGTTGTCTCTTAGGTGACGAGTTCAGCTGTCTATGGCGGGACTGCGCACGCGCACGACGACCCTTCAACGCTCGTTACAAACTCCTAATACACATGCGCGTTCACTCCGGACATAAACCTAACAGATGTCATGTAAGTTTTATTAGTTTTATAGGTACAATATACTCATCCATATAAAAGTAAAGTTACAGCCTCTATACGTCCCACTGCTGGGCACAGGCCTCCCCTCATTTCTGAAAGGGGTTTTAGGGCAAGGAAGTGTCCGCCGCGCTGCCCCTATGCGTATCGGCGAACTTCACATGTCTTCGAAATATTTTTTTCTTATTCCGCAGATATACAGGTTTCCTCACGATGTTTTCCTTCACCGCCGAGCACGTGGTGAATCAGCACTTAAAATTGCAATTAACAATTTCATTGGTGCCGGCGGGGATCGAATCCGGGTTACTCGCGTTCTGTTATATTTACAGCGAGCGTTAACCATCTGAACTACCACGGCTCTTCCATATCCATTACCCCAAATCCTTACCTTTTTCTGCTCTTACAGACTCCTACTGTCCCCATTCATAGAATGCCTTGCGGCTGTGTGATTTAAAGCTTGTAAAAGTATTATCAAATTCATCACAAGTAAACTTAAATAATGTTCTATACGAAAAACTGGATTATTTTAGTATGAAAGTGATGGAAACTTTTTCACTATGTTACACAGTTAGTCTCACAGAATACCAACGTAAAATAGCAGCTTAATACTGCTGTGTTTCGTATGGTTTTGTAGAGATCCGGAGACCCTTTTTTTAATGGAAACGAGGCATCCCATCTTAGTCCTCAGGGGTGACAACGCATCTGCGTTTTGATTCACAATCGAGGATAAATGTAGATGTCTATGGGCCACAGCATCCACTTACCATCACGTGGACTGTGTGCTAGTTTGCCACCCTTGTTCTATAAAAAAAGTTACTTCTAACCTTCTCCAAGCAACGTGCATTTAGTGGTACAAACTACAAACAAACAATTTGCGTAACAGGCGATAGAGGTAAACTAGAACAGGAGATGGGCAACAGCATCTTCCTGATAACAGCCCAAAGTAATTAAAACTGCGTCTGCCAACCCACTTGCCGGGCGTGGCAACTATGGCAAAATCCCCCATCAGGCAATCTTTGGGAAGGCCTTTATTCGACAGTGGATTTGCATAGTAAAATATGCACTTAGTTTTATTAATCGTTAGGGCTTTTTAGACTAACAGTTCTTCTGGCTTGTTATTTCCCCTTTTACGAGTATCTGTTTGCTGCTGCTATATTTTGGTTTAAATGATAAGAAAGCCAACGTATTAACAGACTATAAAGCATTAACCTTAGCCCTCAGGGTGACAACGAAATCTATAAAAATTAATGAACTCAATCGAGTTCATAAAAACGAGAATGTTAGATATATGTCGACGTATTTTTTTTTAAATATGTTCACTGATATCTCAGAAACGGCTGAACCAATTGAAACGTTTTTTTTGATAAGTAATTTACTCTTCAGAGGTGGTCCCAGTATAAATTTAAAGAAAAAAAATTAGTACTAGTATATAATTAAAATAGATTATGAAGATTTTTTTCTCAATATAAACATATGTAAAGGCGCCAATGCCATTTTGGAATTTGATAAGTGTCATGGATGTCATTGCACGATATATTCAACTTATAATATGCCTAGCATTTCGTGAATATTTATTAACAGCTACACTGTGGATTATTACATTTTATATGTTTAATTTATCTATTCCACTTCCATTGGCTAGATGAAAAGAAATATATTTGTACACAACGTTGTGATAGAATACATGATACCTACTACTGTAAACTTTACTGATATCTAACGCACTGTATTCACAACAAATAAATTAATTTGAATGATTTTAATGTACCTATATAAACGTATTTCTAGTATCTAAAACTTGTAATATTCCACCACTTTGAAGAGAACTTAGTAAATAGTACGGAGCGAAGGCATAATGTTTCGAATAATTACGAGTAAAGCACCTACTTAATAAACTGACTTTTGGCCTGACCCGCGATTCGAACCCAGAACCACATCATCATCAGTCGCATTCACGATTATTAGAATAACGAGGTAGTCACTCATCACGGTCACCAGGGTATTAATATTTATATATAAAAATCAATTGCTGTGCGTTAGTCTAAAACTCGAAACTAGCTCGACCGATTTAGATGATTTATCATACCCGTTAGGTTGCGCCGTTGTCAAGATTCTTAAATCGCCCGTGCGAAGCCGGGGCAGATCACTAGTGAGTTATATAATCATTTATAATTTTTCTAACCAGCACCCTGGCTGTGGTAAGGCGTTTTCCCGCTTGGAGAACCTGAAGATCCACGTCAGATCGCACACCGGCGAACGTCCGTACGCCTGTCCAGCGCCGCACTGCAGAAAGGCTTTCTCCAACTCGTCTGACAGAGCGAAGCATCAGAGGACACATTTCAATGCTGTAAGTAGTGATAGTAAGAATATTTTGGTATAAATAATGAGATAGGAAATACATCAAATTCATGTCTTGGATTTCGTAACAAACGACCGTAGGAAATATACGAAAGGTCTTTTTTTGGCTTCCGATGATTGCGGGTATAACGATCTTGTTTATACCATGTGTGTGCCCAGTCCAGAAACAGTCAGCAGTATCTAAAGTGATCACGTCTGATTCTGCTATCATCACATGCTGATTTCAGCGCGCGCGTGACGCAAGCATTATGAAAGTATTTGCTATTGTTGAACTATGAAAACTTTCGTTATAATTATTTAAAATATCAATTTGTTAATTGCAATTTAAGTGCTGATTTACCATGTACTCTGGGTGAAGCAAAACATCGTGACGAAACCTGTATGTCTGAGGAATAAGAAAAAAATATTTCGAAGACAAGTGTTCGCGAACACTCATTGGGGCAGCCCGGCCGATACTCCATTGCCCTAAAACCCTCTAAAAAGTGAGGGGAGGCCTGTGCCCAGCAGCATAGAGGCCGTAACTTTACGTTTTTACTTTTATTTAAAAATATTATCAAATTCATCACTTAAGCGTACATAAATCAGTTAATAAATAAATTGACACGAACTTAAGTTCCATCTGGTGGTAAGTGGTTACTGCAGAACACGTACAACTGTCACCAACTTCAAGCAATGAAGGCTATGGATGCGCGGTAACCTCTTATGACGATTGTCGATTGTCTCTCACCCCGGCTCTCTATTACCTTTAGACCGGAACTCATCAATTAAATCACTGCTATTTTGCGGCAGAAACACGTAAGAGAGTTTTTCCTACCCATATAGATTTCTTGACAGAAAAAAGTCCATCCTCCTTGCAGGCTTCACATTTTATTTTATAGAATAATGTGACAAACGACCATACAGCCTATCTGACGGTAAGTGGATGTTATGGTCGATAGACTTACAAATTTATCTTCGATTAAGAATAAAAATGCATTGTGCACCTGAGGACTAATATGGTATGACTCGTTTCCAATAAAATGGTTTCCAGTTCTCTACACTCACCAAACAAAACACAGCAGTAATAAATTGCTATTTTACGCTGGTAACCTGTGAGAGCGTGGTCCTACCCCGGTCGAGCCGACCTCTTTGCGCCACATCCATAATATAGCTGCAACGTGCCTCTTTCACGTATAAACACATACATGAGAAATCGTGAAGCGAAGGAAAAGTTTAAAAATAATAATTTTAATAATGTATTTTGCCCCTTAGAGACCATATGCGTGTGGTGCAGCCGGGTGTGGCAAGCGATACACCGATCCTTCGTCCCTACGCAAGCACGTCAAATCGCACCCGCACATAACCAACGTACCACGCGCCTGCATCCCACCATCCAGACCAATACGACGACCCGATCAAGAGCAAATGGTGCCCAGCTCCCCGGCCAAGTTAACAACACTGAGGTGTATAAGGGATAAGCTGACAGTGCCAAAGTTACAAAAGTTATAGTCTATACACGTATATATTAATTTTGCTTATCCGTAATATACACACAGTATGTAAACGAAAATCGAAATGTTCATCTTCTCTTATATATAAAAATTACGTGTCACATTGTTTGTCCGCGATGTGAGCAGTTTGAGCCAACTTGAGAGATAGGATAGTTTTTATCCCGATAAGTGAACCTCAGTATTTTTTAATATGCATTTAAGAATTTTTTATTAGACAAAGGTTCATCAGAGAGCAGAACGTCTGCCTGACCCGCTAGTATAAGCTTATATTTTTTTTTTTTTATTTTATTTTATATATATTTTTTTTTTTTTTATGTATATGTATAAGCCATTGGTATATATATATATAAGCTAGTATATGGTACAAGGGACAGGGTAATGGTTAAATCGATATTCACCTGTGTGGTGTTGACATAAGAAAACTAAGGTTACAAATGAAACCAGACCATGGATGAAAGAGCCATGGTAGCTCAGGTGGTCACTTGGTGCGTTCACTGTAAATTTCATAGTACCCGAGCAACCCGAGTTCGACCACCGCTGGCACCAACGAAATGTGTTATTGCAATTTTAAATGCTGATTTACCAATTGCTCGGCGGTAATGGAAACCTCCATGCCTGAGAAATAAAAAGTATTTATTTTCAAAGAATTATATGTTAAGTATGCCAACGCGCTTTGGGTCAGTGCGGCGGACATTTTCTTGCCCTAAAACCAACAAAAATGTGAGGAGACTCAGATGCATCATGCCCAGCTGTGGATCGTATTTAAACTGAAGCTGTACTTTTATTTTACAGAACGTATATAACGGTATTTTATATATAGTTAGCTGAAGTGCTTGTTTTAAATTATTCAGTACATAACCTATTGCGATCCGCGCCGGAAGGAATATTTTTTTTAAAGATATACTTAGTTCACCAACATGTATTAAGGCAACGCGGCAAGCTCTTGTTGCTCCAAAGACGGTCTTAAAAATGAGTACTTAACATTAAGTTTTAAAATTACGAGTATGTTTTGACTTGAATACGTCTTTAAATTTGCTTCCATAGTGGAAGGCAGTTCAGAATATAGACGGTAACCTAACACAATCGGGGGATACAGTTTGATGTCAATATACATACAAAATTTAATGACACCACTCTATAGCAAAGCAATCAAAGTATTCGTTACGTTTAGTGATGAGGACTGCGATGAAATGCGCGCGGCGTTGGCGGGAGCGCTATCATCTCGTTAAATACTCGGCTGGGTTTTTGGGATTTTTTCTATTCCAATATTTCAATAAATCTGCTCTTGAGCGGCAATACTTCCGTTCCTGCTATTTTCAAATCAATTCCAAAAATGTATGCCATTGATATATTAATATTTAGATATTAAGTGTAATAGTACAAAATTTTAACAAAAGTTTTTATTGCAAATATTTAATATTGTTTGCGGACTGTAAATAACTATAGCTCAATTTAAAGACTGTAATACTCGTAATAAAATTGGCTCAACTAGTGTAAATAGTTGTATTTTTAAATTTAAGGTTGTTAAAATTAGTTGTATCGTGTTTAAAACACATGTTGCAGACCTGGTTGCAGGGACCAATTGTATTTAATTTACATTTTAAATTTAACCTTAAATAAATTTAGCTAAGATATTACTTGTAGTTATAGTCGTGTCTAACACAGATGATCTCTTTATGACAGTTGTGTTTAAGATGCATTTATCAAACATATATTATGTTGTGTAAAAAAATAAATGAGTGTGTTGAAGTTTATGCTTTGAACTATACTTGAGTACAAAGATGGCGACCTTACGTTAGGAATTGAGATTTTTTTAAATGTTAGAGTCAAACGAGCTAAAAGTCCACCTGATAATAAGTCGTTACTGCAGTCCATGGAAAATTACAGCTAACTTCACGCTGGAAATAACACAGTTGCGTAGCCGCAACGTGCTCTCTGTCACCCTTGCTGACACTACGCAGTGGGTGCATCGATGCTCAATGACAGAAAAAAAAGAGTGTACAAGACTTCTTAGAAGAAAAAGAGCCCAACCGCCAAATACTTATTATATATTTATAACTTTTTTACCTGGTGATTATACCTTTTATAAAAATTTTAATGTTATTTATACAGTTTAAGTTCCTATACTATAAAAATAATTCCAAACACCTATGTTTGCTCAATTATTTTTAAAAAATATTATTATTATTAGCTTCTTAGATTTTTGGCAGGCTGCCTGTATAATTAAAGGATAATATTATGTTATATTATTATTAATGTACAAATTTGCATGCTTTCCAAAGAATCTCTTGATTGTAATTTAGTTGTAAGTGTATCTTCCATTTTAAGATCTCTATTTTACTTATTTCAATAATTAGGGTTATGTTAGACAGCTGCTGTCATTAATTTTTATATTATAAAATAAAAAATAATTTTCTTTAAATAAGTTTTTTTTTAATTTAAGAATACTGTATTTCCCTCTATCGCTATGCAGCATCAAACATTCGAGTTCAAACCGGAACACAGCTGTCTAAGCACTGCTACTTGAGGCAAAAATAGGCAAGACCTACCCAAACGTTCTCCTAAGCAAAAAACCTCACGCTCACTTTACTAGGCGATTTACTCGGAGTTTTCGTGCTCGCACGACTTCTTCGTAGAATGTACGGCGTTTTCCGAACCGCTACGATTTATGGACCTTCAAGAAACAAGCTCACTACTTCTTAAGAGTCGAGCAACGCACCTGCTTTTCCCATGGCATTGCAGTAAATCATGGGCGGCTATCGATATTTACCATCAGGTGAGCCGTGTGCTGGTTTGCTTCTATAACAAAAACATATCTGGTAAAAAGCCCACCTACTAAAAAACTAAGAAAACCACTTTCTTCAAATTTAGAACCTTACTTCGAAAATCAAAAACTATTTATTCTGTAACAATAAATTTAGATCAATGACAGTAGTAGCTCTTCCTTAATTGACACAGAATGCTTTAGTTACAATAATAACATGACATTCCTTTCCTTTTGATAGAATAATTATGAAAGACTATGCGTGCGTGCTTTATAAGCCGTGTTATTTTAACAAATCGATTTCGTGATAATCTTTCCACTTGTGCCATTCAATGAGAATTATCTTAAAATATTTATTATTTTTAGAATAAATATTCAATTCTCTATTTAATTAATTATAAAAATAAGAGTATTTTTTTTCCTGTTGTCGTGTAGCAAACGCTAACCGGATCACTTGGAGCTACGTTAGTTTTTCTCCTTTCCGTTTTGTATTCAGGGTTATATGCAAGGGATTTGCGTAGCTTAAGAACGATATTTAATATGTATAACTTGCAAACTGTAAGAAGATCACACAAAGTGTATAAATCCTGTGTTGGAAATTTGTAAGGCTTGAAATTCATAACCTTCAGTAATGATCTTTGAGATCTTTCTAAATTCAAAAAAATTGTTTCTGTATCACCTCCCCATATACTAATACAATATACTAGAACTGATTGAACTAAAGAAACATACACTTGTTTTTATATCTGTGGTGTCGCCAGATGTCTTTAAATTAAAAAAATATAAAGTTTCTATCCTAGCCATTAAAAGTTCAATATGTAGATGCCAGGATAAAGGCTATATACAAGATATGTTGTGCTGGGTACTTTTTTTATGTGAGGGCATGAGCAGTTTGAGTTATTAAGGTTAACACAAGAATGAATTTTAATATCATAATTAGGTTGAGTCATATTGTAGTTAGTACCTATAGTTTTCTTAGATGTATTGATAGTTAATAAATGTACTCTTAACCACCCTGCAACCTTGACTCACCACACTTTAGCGCTGTGCCAGACATCTTCTCAGTTTCGACCACAGAATACCAAAGCAGTGTCATCTGTATACGAGAACACGTGCCCATTTTGTAGCGACATATTACAAACGGTGTGTACGTTTACCAAAAATAGAGTCGGGCCTAAAGCACTCCCCTGTGGTACACCGTAGGTAATGGTAGAGTCATGACTACAGTGCTCTCCTATTTTGACCCGTTGTTTAAGGTTTGATGACTAATCTTTAAATAAATATAGGGGTTTACCTCATATGCCTATTTATTCAAGTTCCTTTACAAGAGTAAAAATAGAGACGCTATCATAGGCTTTTTTTATATCGAGAAAAACTTTTGAACATTTATTTCCTTTGTAAACTTGGTCCTAAAATAGCATCTTCTGTGCAAAGACCTCGTCTGAAACAAAATTGTGACATTAGGAGAATATCATATTTATATAAATAATTAATCTAACGGTTAGTTAACAATTTTTCTAAAATTCTGGATATTGCGGGAAGAACTGATGTAGGTCTGTAGTTACTTGGATCGCTCCTATCTCCATATCCATCACCATACAAGACACTCCATATAGGAGTAATTAATTCCAACTTCAGAGCAGTAGACGCCATCCCTAAAGCAAGATTTGCCAGGTGTGTTATTATGGGTACTAATATTATATTGGCCTGTTTTAGAAAATTGGTGGTGACATATTCATGTCAGCTCACTCTCTGTTCTAAATTTTATCAATATATTCCTCACCTCCGAATCATCAGTCTCCAGCAAAGCAAAAGATTAGGAGCTTATTGTTTTATCCGTAGTGAAAAATTAATAGAGTTAGATTTTGATAGAATATCCTCCACCAGGGATTTCCCAACGTTGGCAAAGTACCTATTAAGCAAGTTAACGGATTCAAGAGGGATCGATTCTATTTTCAACAACTTTATATATTTGTCTAGTTACTGTTTGTGATGTGTGATGTCATTTATTGCTTTCCAGAGCATCTTAGGGTTTCCGGGAGCATTCATTATCTGTTGTCGCTCATATTTGCGCTTAAGTTTTTTAATTAAACTATTGCATTGTTGCAGTTAACACCCTAATAACCCTACTTTAGTCATATTACTTTTTAATTGCAACAAAGATTTACGAATTGCTCTATATTTTCAGCACCTTAAAAATAAAGTTTGAGGATAGTAAATTATAGAGCGATTGGTTTGTCTGAGTCTGAAGCCTACAAAAGAACACCGATGATACGCGAGGCTACTGAAATTAAAAAACATCCAAATTTCAATAGAGAATATGGATGGGTGCTGCCATCTGCTTGGGATCCTATAATTAACAAAATTAAGGCCAAACCCAAGCATACCACTGCAAGACTTCATGATACTATAAGCTCGTTTTACGTAAATCGGACCAAAAATTAATAATCAAAAACTGAAGGTAGCCGGACGATAACTATGACATTGGGACGTCAAACATCTCAGCCCCCCCCACCCTGTGACCACAGGTGCTATAAAGCACCCGAAACGTCGGGATAATAAAAATAAATTAAAGTATAAATTAAACGCGACAAAATCCGTAAATAATAGTTGTATTCAAAAGGTTTAACGTAGCTAAAAGGGTTTTATGTGAGGGAAAATAATTGAAAGGGATTTCCTCGAGCGGTAGAGATACGAAAAGAGGAGTGTATTCGTTACCAGCGCCATCATCATGAGCTCGTAACAGTTCTATGCTGAACATGGGCTTCTGCTACAGAAGGGAGGATTGAAATACTGAACAGGAGATATTTTCATACCATCATATACCAAAGCTACGAGGTCTTTTTGGCATTTCGTATAGTCGACTCCAATGGGAAAGACAGTATGATGGATTACATTATTCTGTTCTAGTATTCTAGTATTCTATTCTATCACCCTTTAATCATCAAAATATACTACGTTTTCCATGGTAGAGCTGTATGTGTGCCATGCTACAGCTGTATTGTAGTTGCAGCTCGAATGGAATGTCTCATTCGAGGAAGGATCACGTTCTCACAGAATACCAGCGTAAATAGCTGCTTGATGCACCGTAGCAGCTTAAACACTCATACATGTTTCGTATGGTGAGTGTTGAAAATCTTCTGCTTCTATTACAAATTGTTAAATCTTGTTTAAAGGTAACAGTTAGTTCTGATAAGTGAGTTTGCGAGTAGAAAATTATTGTGACATATCTTTTGAATGCCCATATTACTATTATAGGACCATAGTATTTAACACTCATTTTTTTTTTTTTTTTTTTTTTTTTTTGTTTTTTGGTGTTTTTTTTTACAACACAAATTTTTTTTTTTTTTTTTTTTTTTTTTTTTTTTTTTTTTTTTTTTTCCGTATTTTATTTTTTTTTTTTTTTTTAAAATTTTAGAAGTTGGTTTTTTTTTTTCCCACCAAATTTTTTTTTTTTTTTTTTTTTCTTTTGTTTTTTTTAATTTTTTTTCTGAACTTGGCAACTTAGAAGCTTGCATTTTTGCACCTCCAGGAGACCATGAACCTTAGTATTTAATATTAATTTTAACTTGACAACCTTGACAGACGGACAGACAATTAAATGAACCTGTTGGATCCTTTTTCCTTTTGAGGTACAAAACCATAAAAATAATTTTTCATACGCCTGACATACTTACCTCTTTTTTCATATCAATAAAAATTATCATCGTTATCATAATAGCCTTTTGTAAGTCATAGATCTCCCAACAAACCCAAAAAACTGTAACCTCACAATTAATCACAAGTAAACTCACAAAAAGAGTCTTGAAATATTGAGACACCTGCATCCATCGACTTTTGGCAATTCTTACCAGGTCGTCACTCCATCTAACTTAACTTTGTAATTAATACATATACGTGTAATGATTTCTTAAATTTACGCGAATACTACACATTGAATAAAATTATATATTATGCGGATTTTTTCGCGTTTAATTAACTTATTATTACTTATTTTTAATTCCCCACGTTTCGATAGCTTTATAGCACCCGTAGTCACTGAGTGGCCTGAGATGTTTGACGTCCCAATAAAAATAAGTTAAAATAAGTCAATTGAACGCGAAAAAAACCGTATATATAGTTTTATTTAGTACTTACGTAATTAAAAAGACTATTATCTAATAGAAGTTATACTTAAGTAAAGGATCCGTGGTAGCTCAGATGGTTAGTGCTCGCTGTAAATTTCACAGTACGCGAGCAAACCGGGTTCGATCCCCGTCGGCACCAATGAAATTGCTGATTGCAATTTTAAGAGCTCATTTACCACGTTCTCGGCGGTGAAGGAAAACATCGTGAGGAAACCTGCATGTTTGGGAAAAAAGAAAAAATTTGGAAGACATGTGAAGTTCGCCAACATGCATTGTAACAGCGCGAACGACACCTTCTTGACCTAAAACCCTCTCAGTAATAAGGGGAGGCCTGTGTCCAGCTTTGGGACATATATATGCTGTTCTTTACTTTACTTAAGGTATAATATGTGTTTCAAATAAGTGATTTCAATTGAGTATTGTTGTTTGTCTGTTACAATATTTGCTGATTGCTAGCTCGTAATATAATCAAGGCAATGACCTAGCATTGGCCTAAGAACTAAGTTTTACCTACAAAATCTGGATACAATGTTGTTATCGTAGAAAGTGCATGATCGGGGTCAAATAGGCACACGTGTAATTTGATATATAAACTGTGCATCGATGCGATTCATTTAGAAGGATTTTCTCAGAGGAACGGACATCTGAGGACCTGCTCAAGGGAATCGGTTGAAACATGAATGTTTTGGTGCTCACGGCGCTTATCGGTAAGTCCCCGTTTTATAAATTTAATTTTCTTTTTTAACACCCGACGAAAACTGTGGAGTGTTAATAAGTTTAACGTACGTATCAGTGCATCTGTGTGTCTGTCTATAGCATTTTTATACGTGGTAGAGCCACGCTGCAGTTATATTAGTAGTATAGTTGTAGCACGAATGGGTCGGCTCGACCGGGGATGGACTGCGTTCTCACAGAATACCAGCGTCAAATAGTAGCTTAATGCTGCTGTGTTTCGTATGGTGAGTGTAGAGAACCGAAGACCCTCTTTATTGGAAACGAAGCATTCCATCTTAGTCCTCATGGGTAACAACGCATCTGCATTTTGATTCGTAATCGAGGATAGATATAGATGTCTATTAGCCACAGCAACCACTTACCATCAGGCGGACTGTGTGCTCGTTTGTCACCCTATCCTATAAAAAAATCGTAGCACCCAAACGGACGAATAAATTTTATTTCAGTTCTTTTTCGTTGAAAGGTGACGTGATTAAGGGTGTTTCAGCCGTTTGAAGAATTAGCTTTTTGTTTCGTGGATTTTTTTATTATTTAATTTTAGTTATTCTTTTAACAGTCCACATGGACGTGGTTTTGTTTCTTCCATTGTAAGAAGGATTAGCCATTATCGCCACACTCGATAGGCAGGTTGCCGATCGGAGGACCGAAGTTTTAACGCTGTTTCTCGTCGCTGGTCTAGGTATTTACATCTACGATATGGTATACCGCCATCTTAGACGTGTGTTCTTTCAGATATTTCCTATAACGTACCGTACGACACCTACGAGAATATACGACATAACGTATTTTTAAAAGTAAACAGATCTGACACCGCGAGTAATATAATATGTGCCGCATTACGAAGCAAGTGGTCACAGAGTAGATTCTTTTTCTATGGGCTTTCTTTCTATTTCTATCTTTTTATGTTAGCTTTATCGCGTGTTACAAATACAAACAACCAAGTTTTCATAAAGATATTAATAGTTACTTTGCAACCATCCGCTCAATTAAAAAAAAATGATGTGTCTTCCTTAGTTTGAAGAGCACCTCCCGCCCTCCCTCAATTGCGTCCACTAATCCCGTCACCACTAATCCAAACTAGGTAAGACACATCATTTAATTGAGCGGATGTTTTCAAAGTAACTATTAATATATTTATTATAATGGATTTCCGCAAAGTAACGCCTGATTCTATCAATTAACCAAGTTTTCGTAAGGGCTTCTCTTCTAGAACGTAATACATGTTACTTCAATGGCTTAGCCTATGTATAGGTACCTACTCTTTTCACTGTAAATGAGGCATATTATCTTTATTTTTATATAATAAGGGTGACAAGTTTTTAGTAATATGTGATTAAAGAAATAGTTTTTTGGTTTTCGTAATTGAGGAGGAGTTTGTATCATATTTAATTTATATTAAAAATTAATTATTTTTATTAATTTTTTTAATTAATTTACATTAAAATTTTGCTTCTTCCACAGTAGACCCATAAAAATTTAACCTGATTCCAGTCGGTTTTTTAAATTGTATTGCAATTTCTAATTTTAGTGCGAAGTGAATATTTTTAGATACGTAATATTATACTTAATTAAGAATATTATATTTTTGGACATCTGCAATATACATATAGTTTTTATCAAAATAATGCCTAGCTTATAATAATGATACAAAAGAATAATAATTTTCTTAAATAAAAAATAAGTCATCAATGAGGGCTTCTAATACTACGCTCACCAGATGTCACTAGTCAAACAAATAAGATCTTTTTTGTTACACAGATGGTCATATAATGTCATCATCATCATTATTAAAAAGTTACGTTCTAAATAAAAGTTTTTTTTTTTGGTATTTAATATATATGTAAAACAACGCCTAGTATTCAATTTATTACAAATTTTAAGCTTTTCTTAAATTCTTCTGCCGTTAGTTATCTTCATAGCTTGAATTATCTATTTCTAATGCAAATTATACAAAATATAACTAATAAAAAAATCTCTACGAATTTCGAACCTGCTATGAAATCTGTCAAATATTTCCCCTCATTCCAAAACAGCGCCACATTTGTGACAGAAAATGGTGGGTACCATGGAGGTTAGAGAGAAGGACAACGATCGCTGTAAAAAAGTGTCTCAGAAATATGGACAAAATAAGTGAGGCGCTGCGATCGCTAAGTTGTCTCAATAAGTCATTTTCAGTCTATTTTTCCGATCAGATGCTAAACCACTTTCACATCCACGCACAATACAATATTTCACCATTTTTTAATGTTTCTTTTGTCAAAAATTAATAAATTACGGAGCACGATTATTTTCTCACCAATGCTGCGAGCTCATAAACAGCTAACTTCGCAGACGGCAGTTCAGGGACAGGCGGGCTATGCTTTAGCATGTAGCGATCGTTCTCCTTCTCTCTAACTTCCATGGTAGATACCCTCATTTTGTTACATTTTACTTTTTTACATTATAACATTTAAACGTTAAAATTAAAGTATTTTAATGTCTATATATTTTTAATAAACGCACACGGGCTTGAATCATATTATTTTTATATTCCATTTACTGCTATCCAACAAAAATTAAAACTATTTGTTAATTATTTTGGACTCATATGGCAATTCTAAGACTATGATAACGAATACCGATACGAAAGTAACAAAAAGAACATGAAATTAAACCAATTACTACAAAATTAAAGCCAAAGTTGTTGGCATGGCTATAATATACATCAAAATATTTTTATATATTACCATTTACTGAGTCTGCCAATCAATAGCTCTTACAGCTGCATACACTCTTCCCAACATTCCCATATCCAATGTCATGTTAAGCGACAAAATCGGAGATGCAGTGTCAGGGATACGGATACAATTAGAAAACTTCAAGACCACAAAAAAATTGTTTTAGCACAAATGTTAGCACCAACATGAATTTGACTCTAGGCGGCAGCAATATCACTAGATCACGCGATTGTTACACTATAGTTACAAAAGAATAAGGAAAATCTCGTTTTATAGCTTCTAGCTACCTAATCTTTTTTCCAATAGTTATGGTAAACCTAGGAATATCTTAGAGGGTAACATTTAATTTTAAATTTAAAACGAGGTACGTTGCAATAGAAGGAAATATAAATCGTTAATAAATGCAATAACAAAAAAAATTGCATAAAAGTACGTTCTGTCGTCAAAAATTTGAATCAAGATGTCTGGCTAACTTTCTGTAAAAAAAATTTGTTGCTTATAAATTTTTTAAATATGTTTTTTTCTTTCTTAACAGTCGCCGTTTCCTCTAGTCGACAGACTATTGATAATACACCCCAAGAAGCAACGCAATGGCCCTGGCAAGTTGGTAAACTGTACCGCTACGACGTGGAAACTCACACTTTAGCTCGTCTTCACGAAGGCGAAAGTACTGGTAACGCTTTTAAAGCTCGCTTTATTGTCCGCGTCAAGGCACCCGGTCTATTACAAGCCAGGTTGGAAAGCCCACAACACGCCCAAGTTCATCAATATCTAGGACCTAGTGGACAGGTACCAGCTGACCTTAAATACCAACCAGCGCTGTACCTCGATAAACCTTTCGAGATTACTCTGGAAGGTGGTCGCGTACTATCCCTCAGCTTTCCGGTGACTGTGCCCCTGGCGCAGGAGAACTTGCTCAAAGGCCTCATCGGTGCTCTCCAAGTGGATCTCTCACCATACAGAAATGTCCACAGTCCTCACGACACTTATGATAGTCAGATCCAGCAAGGCCTCTTTAGGAAAATGGAAACCGATGTCACAGGTGACTGTGAGACTTTGTACACCGTTTCTCCAATAGCATCGGAATGGCGCCGAGAGCTTCCACAGTTCGCTTCTGATGAAGAACCATTTGAAGTAACCAAGAGCAAGGACTACGACCACTGCCATCATCGTGTGGATTATCATTTTGGAGTGCCCGAGGGTGCTGAATGGTCAGGTGCTGCCTATAAAACTCGTAAAGACCAATTTATCAAGCGCGCCACTGTTTCCCGTATTCTCGTTGGCAAGCAAGGTCCTATTTACAAATCAGAGACAACTAGTACTGTTCACGTGCATCCTCACGTATATGGCCAACAGAAAGCTGAAGTGCACAGTTATGTGAACCTAACTTTAGTATCACATGAACAAGACAGTGAACCCGAATGGGAGAAACCGGAAGGCAGCCGACCAATCCAAAACCTTTTATACTCCTTAACATCTAAACAGGTAACAATTGACAGCTCATCTTCATCTTCATCATCCGAATCACAAGAAAGATATAACCCTCAAGGCCAAGATGAGAAGTCGTTCAAATCTAGATATCGCCGATCCTCACCGAACTCTAAAACGATTGTGTCAGTCAACAAAGTCGTCATAAAAAAACGTAACAGTGACAAATCCAGTTCATCCAGTTCTTCTAGTTCTGGCGACTCTTCAGCTTACGTCAATGATGATGTTCCAAGATTTAACGAACCAGCCTATGCAGCTCTTTACATGAACCCTGAATCTCATGGTGACAAGAAACAAAACCCTATGAACGCTCAGAAACTCGTCCAGGAAATGGCTCAGCAGCTTCAAAACCCTAACAACATGCCTAAAGCTGACTTTCTTTCAAAGTTCAACATCTTAGTACGCATTATTGCGTCAATGAGTTCGGGACAGCTGAGTCAAACGAGCCGCAGCATTGAGATCGCAAAGTCCTCGAACGACATTGTTAAATCCGATATGTGGATGATCTATCGCGATGCGGTCGCTCAAGCCGGTACCTTGCCAACATTCCAACAAATTAGGACTTGGATTCAATCAAAGAAACTCCAAGGTGAAGAAGCCGCAGAAGTGGTGGCAACATTACCCACTACTCTTCGCTACCCAACGAAGGAGCTTATGACTCAGTTCTTCGAGCTTGCCATGAGCGATGAAGTCCGTCAACAGAGATTCCTTAATACCAGTGCTTTGATCGCTGCTACTAGGTTTATCAACATGGCCCAAGTTAACAATGTTACTGCACACTCGTATTATCCCACTCACATGTACGGTCGTCTGTCAAGTCAACACGACGCGTTTGTTCTCGAGGAAATCCTTCCACGTCTTCAACAAGAACTGTCACAAGCTGTACAAGAGAACGATCCTCACAAACAACAAGTCTACATTAAAACCATTGGTAATTTAGGACACCGAGCCATTCTAGATGTTTTTGCTCCATACCTCGAAGGTCAGATTATAGTATCGACATACATGCGCACCCAAATGGTTGACAGTTTACAAGTCCTGGCCCATCAAAAGGACAGTTACGTCCGTGCTGTACTATACAGTATTCTTAGAAACACCGCCGAACCATACGAAGTGAGAGTAGCTGCTATTAAGAACATCTTTATGACACGTCCTAATAGTGCCATGATGCAAGCCATGGCTGAAATGACCCATGACGACCCCAGCATCCAAGTTCGTGCTGCACTGAAATCTGGTATTGAATCTGCTGCTAAATTGAAGAGTCCTCGATACTTCGAACTGTAAGTATTTTTTTATTAAAAATATATTTTTTTAATAAAAATTTATTTTTTATATAATATAGTTCAACACTCTACATTAAATGTTGTAGAGTTAACATAAGATAATCTACTACCCCATATAATTTCGGGGGTGTTTATTAGGCGTGGTAGAGCCATGTTGTAGCTATGTTATAGTTATAACACGAATGTACCGTCTGGACCTGGGAAGGAACACGCTCTCATAGAATACCAGCGTGTAATAGCAGCTTATGCTGTTGAGTTTCGTATGGTGTGTGTAGAGAACCGGAGACCCTTTCACTAGAAACGGGGCATCCCATCTTAGTCTTTAGGGGTGACAACGCATCTGCATTTTAATTTTTAATTGTGGATAGATGTAGACACGTCGGTTGGCAACCCCGCTCCCAAGCGTGGCGACTTCAACAAATATCCCTTACATGAGGCAATATGTAATGAACAAATAAATTTAAAAGTATGTAGTCCTATGCTAAGTTCATTTGTTTATTTATTTCGTCTTTATTGCATTTATTAATACAAATGTATAAAATAACTGTAAAAAAAAATTTTGTTTCTTTTTAATAATTAAATATGCTTTGAACGTACGTAGTAAAACAAAGTAAAACAAATAGTACTTGGAATAAAGGCTTTAATTTACAATTATTACACCTTTGCAGAAAATTGGGGGAAAAACACTTTTCTTACTTTCATTTTCAAATCAGTATTACTTTCGAAGTAAACCTGTGTTCAAGTTATACATAATCCGATAGCTTATTTAATAAAGTTTCCATTGATAAGTATATGATTTTAATATACCTTTTATACAAAATGTCTTGGAAATAATCATTTTAACGAACAGCAGAAAGTAGCCTGGAAGTACTTCGGGAAGTGCTCGACAGTTGCGCCATATTGGCCAAAATGACCCCGACATACGAGGGGCTACAGGAAAACACCCCCTAATTGTATAATTAGGGGGTGTTTTACTGGAAACGAGGCATTCCATCATAGTCCTCACGGGTGACAACGCATTTGATTCTTAATCGAGGATAGGTGTAGATGTCTATGGGCCGCAGCAACCACTTACTATCAGGTGGACTGTGTGCTCGTTTGTCACCCTATCGTATAAAAAAATTACTTATAGGAAAACGCCGCATAAGTCATTGTCATAAGTATTTGTTATATAACAACATTTTGATAGGTTTTATAAAACATAAATGTTTTTTTACAAAGGGCAAGAACCGCTCAATGGGCCAAGGATATGCTGACCAAGGAAAACTTTGGCACACATCAGTCCGTCAAGGAGTTCATTGAATACTTTGACGACGAAAACGAAAAAACTTTCGTAAGCTTTATGTCCCAAATTGGCAGCGAAGACAGTCTTTACCCTAAATACTGGAAATACTCGTTGAAGAACAAAGCTGATGGATGGAACAGAGCTACATCAGTAAGTAGATACAAAATATAGTTACATTGAATATTTTGATACGGTAGTATTAATAAATATGATAGATTTCTAAGCTATATGAAAAATTATTATTGAATTAAAATAAGGTGGTCCTGGAAGTTGAAGATCATTAAGCAGATTATGCTTGAAATATCTAAGTAAATGAGGATATCGGCAGTAGATCCAGAATAAGCAACCCTACTAGATGAAGTCATGACCTGGTATGTTTGACAGGAAGTCAATGGATGTAGATGGCTCAGGACCGTGTTTCGTAGCATTCCTCTAGGAATGTTAAACAGTTTTCATATAAGGGGCTGTAATAATAATGATAATTATTAATATTAAAATAACTTCTCAGGATTTTATTTTAATGTTTATTAGGAACATATTTTATTTAAGTAGACACTGTAATGTACTTTTAGGTGATAATCAAGAAAGCATAAGAAATATTTAACAACTATTGGCGTGCAACACGTTATATGGATTATTAAACAGAAATATTTTGTCTATTAAAACATATCAAATCAATTTAAACAGTTATATTTACGAAATCTTTACAGTTCTCAACATCGTTCTCAAGTTTCAAGCAATTCGTCGATTTCTTGATAGAGCAAATGTATGGCAATAACATCAAGAGTTACAGTGCTGATCCAAATCACAAATATTCGGCTGAAAAGATCGCCCAAATGCTAAATATTAAGCGTGATTACGGAGAACCATTAAGAGCAGCCTTCCAAGTAAACTTTATGAACCTGGAGAGATTCTTTGCTTTTGGAGAAGACGAATTAAAACAATTAGTTCAAATAATTAGGGAGTACTCTCAGGAACTTGAGAAAGGAATGGACAAACATTACACAAAGGTTTTGAACCAGGCTCAAATTTCTATTATGTTCCCAGTTGCCACGGGTATGCCGTTCATATACAAATATAAAGAGCCTACTGTTGTCCACATCCAGAGCACGGCAAAGGCACAATTCAATAGGCAACCGCAAAAGGATTACTCCGGTTCAATAGATAAGACTCTTAAATTCACATACGCGAGGAACATTGACGGTAGTGTAGGCTTTTTGGACACCCTTGCAAACCAACATGCTAGTGCAGGAGTTATAAATAAGATTCAGGTTTACATACCAATCAAACTGCAAATGCAGATGAAGTCCGGAGAAATAAAAGTAAATGTATCCCCACTGGAACCTGAACTAGACCAAAACATAGTTCACTACAGTGTTTGGCCTTACACTGCTTACCAAAAGAAAGATACTCTTACGCCAATATCGCAAGATCCCACAACAAAATTAGTAGCACGCGGTGACAAAGTCATGTCCCTTGACTCCAGATACGGTCAACAACTTGGTGTTCTTTTCCACCTCCAAGGATATACGTACTCCAACGATTTCAGAAGCATTGGATACAAATTCAATTGGAATAATCCTCTATCTAGTTTTATATCTGCTTTCTACCAGCAAGATGTTGCCCAGACTCATTTCAACGTTAAGCACCTTGGAAAACAATCAAAGAACAAAGCAATTACATTCACTACAGTATACGGTGAGTATTCCAAACTAAAACCTGCTATCATCTTTCTTTAAAAGTGTATTTTTCGTATGACTTTTTAATAATCTTGTTAATCTTACAGATACTTATTACAATCAGAAGCAAGATGGCGAGTTCAACCCCGTTGCATCTGAAATCAATGACGTTACACCTAACAGTGAAGAACGTCGTAAAGAGCTTGTTAAGCGAGCAGTAACTGGTATCAAAACTGCAAAGGCTAATGTCGTTGACCTTAGTGTAGTATTCGATGGACCTCAGAAAGTAGAATATGTGGCAACTGCCGCTGTGGGTGAAAGTCCAGTTGATAACAAAAAGCAGTACGTCTTTTTCGCAGCCAAGAACTGGCCTCAGCAAGGTAGCAGTCAGATAAACGCAGTCGGCAAACAGAACATGCCTGAAATTTCATCCCTCAACTTCCAAGATTCTCTAAGGGAGGACTTCAAAATTCCTTTCGATTTTGACATTCGTTACGGACCAAGTGGAAACATTCATATCAATGGTCAGGCTGAACGTACCAGACATTATGCTGATGCTCTGAAAACTCATCCTCTTGCTCAGCAGTGCGACAAGGAAATCGCTGAAGGCAACCAATATCAGCAGGCCTGTCATGAGATGATTGTGATGTCTCAAGCTCCCGACAGTTTCAAGCTCTCAGTTACGTACAAAGATGTAAGCCCGTTGGTAAGGTACTTCGTCTACCAGGCGTACAAAACTGTAGAGGACTTTGGCTTCTGGTACACTGATGTGAATCCATTTAAGACAACGCCCGATGGAAAACTTGAAATTTACGCAGAAGCATCTTACTTAAACAGCTCCTTGTATTTGGGGTTGAACTCTAAATACGGTGAAGTACATATGAAGAGCTTACCTATGCCTGAAGTGGCCGTTTTCTTTATGTCTTCTTACAGACCGTTCAAGACTTATGAACTTGTCTACAACTATTTCACACGTCAACAATACCAGCGTAAGTAAAGCTTGAATAAGTTTATTTAACCTAGCTTTTGATAACCCACTTTCTTCTGTTTGTATGTTCGCGTTCTTCTGTTTGACTGCCTCGTTGATCTTATGGTTCTTATTGCGGTTGCTGATCATGAGGCCCCAAGTTCAAACCCTAGGTCGAGCCAAAATCAGTTACTAGGAATTCTTTTTTCCATTTAGAAATTCTTAGTAGCATCCAGGATTCATGAAGTTGGCGGTGTTTTACTCCCCTGGAAAGCACGTAAAACCGTTGATCCTGCGCCTGATCTCTCTCCAGTCGTGTCGGTTTCCGTCCCATCGGACTATGAGAGTGAGCGAATAGTGAGTACATGTTTACTTGCGCATAAACTCGGACCCTATCCTGTCTTGCGCAGATGGCTGGTCTCCGTTGAGCCTAGCCACCGAACTGAAAATCGATATGGAGGACATGGTTAGAAATTTGGTATCGGTTTTTAACTAACTTACCGATGATCCACACACTTAAAACTTTAAACACATATAGCTCAGAACTGGATAACAACGCAATATAAACTTACTTCGTTGTCGATCTGTTTGATTGTGTGTCAGTTTGGTATAAATTTTGCAATCGATTTTAAGATGAGCTTGATTCGGAACTTTGAACATAGCTGAGTACTTTTTTTTAATAATAATAATCTTTTATTTACTTTACTTTTTATTTTCTTTAGTACTGGAAACATATTAAAAGATGGTTGCAATTTATAAATAATATATTAATCTTGATACGGTTGTGTTCGCGACCATAATTTTGCAACACAATAAGTTTTTTTATTTTTAAAAATACCATCTTATTTCATAATCGTGATATTGGATACTATCTGGGTTCAGAATGGTTTTTGTACATGGTAAGATACATAAATACCTATAGATACATAATAAAACTCATGCAAAAATCGGGATTAATTCCTAGTGTAGGGTAAGGATTTTAAAAAAGTGATTCTACATGACGTTAGATTTAGTGGTTTTAAATAATTTGTTAATAAAAACGCCAGATTTTGTAAATCATCATTTTCTTTCCAATAGCATATTGCTCCGTTGATGGCACGTACGTAAGAACCTTCAGCGACCGAAGCTACAAATACTCCTTGACCAACTCCTGGCATGTAGTGATGCAGGAACAAGCGAAGTACCCTGGTGCATCAAGGGAACAGTACGTCATCTTAGCCAAGAAACCCAGCGAGCAACAACAGGAAATGTACATTTCATACCAGTAAGTTCACAAGTAATTATAAATATATTTCGGTACATGAATTACAATACATTTGATGGTGGTAGGACTAGGATTGGTACCATCTTCTTACCTATTTCTGCAGCAAAGCGTGGCGTGCACTGCTATGGGCGACTATGTTCTGGTATGAAGGGTATATAGTGGCAGTATAATTATTGAGAGGCGTCCTATCTTAGTCCTCAGAGGTGAGATTCATCTGTAACAGATTAGACAGAGACAGATGTCAATGGGCTGTTGTAGTCACTTACCATCACCATGGACTATAAATTTGTTTGTCACGTCGTTATGATGGCAAAAAGTTAGGTGTGGGTGCAATTCAGTGTTATAAATTGTCCAACACATCTAGTCCCTGAATAATTATTTGTAGGTGATACAAACATTTGCTTCGTGCGGGATTCTACCCTGCAGCACCATGACCAAACAATAAGCTACTGCGCTATGGAGTCGTAAATATAATTTTTTTGTCAGTCTCAAGCTATGGGATATTTCTAGAGTTTTCCATAGACGCTTCTTATGACTCCAACAGGATCAAATTATGTGTGGATATCTCTCACGCCACCACCACAATGCGAAAAGTTCATTCCTAACTAATTGCACACTCGTATTTTATGTATTATCTAAATTATCACGTTTTGAAGCTGAATTTTGTGTATTTTGAAGCTTGAATGTTTTTTAACAGAGCTGAAAACGGCAAACATGCAGAAGTCGAGATCAAGCCTGTACCAGCAGGATCCCAAAAGCACCAAGTTAAAGTTACCACTAACACAAAGAAGGTTTCTGAAGGCAGTTTAATTATTTACTGGGACGATGAGGAAGAGGTACCTTTCTTGCAGTACTTTACTGATTCTGACGGAGTGTTGTGGGTGAACATTCGCGAAGACCGTCTTCGAATTATGTACGATGGGGTCCGGTCAGTCGTTCTGAACAAGGAAAGCCGTAATAGCGCCCGAGGTCTTTGTGGCCAGATGAGCGGTGACAGACGCAACGATTACTTCACTCCTAATGGAATCGTTGACAAACCGGAACACTTTGGTGCTTCCTACGCCTTAGATGATGAAAGCAGTGATCCAAAGACCAAACAGCTAAAAGAGCAAGCCAAAGAGAAAGCTTATGAACCCGAAAACCACTACACTACCATACTCCGCTCTGACCAGGAATGGAAAAACGCGATGCAATCGAAATCATCTTACGAAGAAAATTGGGGATCTCAGGTTGTTTACAGATCAAGAAGCTACCAGAAATTTAGTGGCCCTTGCAAGCTTCAGCAACAGGTCCAGTATTACGAAAATCATGGGGAAATCTGTATCACCATCCACCCCTTGAACGCTTGCCAATCTTCCTGCAGCGGTGATGGTTATAAGGTTCAAGCCACCCAAGTTGTGTGCAGACCAAAGTTAGACCAACAGTTCCGCGCCTACAGGGACCAAATTCGTCAGGGACAGAATCCACAAGTTACTGGAGTCCCTCAGAACAAGCAGTACCGAGTGCCAAGTTCTTGCAAAGCTTAAAACTATATAAAATTCAAACCGACCTGGCATGAAAAAGGATCTAATAATGATATTATTTATTATTGTTATTATATTGAATGATATTATATATTGTATGCTGTACAATATATAAATAATCTTGAGTGTATAGTATTTATTTATGTAAATTATTTTGAATGCATATAATAATATATCGATTTATGTAAAATATTAATTATAATAAGTATAGTATTATTATAAAATAGAGTATGTAGTCATAGTAAGCAATTTAAAAAACCTAAAAAAATGCAATTTAAATAAAATAAATATACCAAATATTAACGGATTTTTTATATACAAAATACCTTTAAACTAAATATTATCACTATATGCATACGTGGAAGAGCCATGCTATACCAGTAATCTATATTGATTGTGATTATATTACGAATAAGTCGGCTCGACCGGTCTAGGACCACGTTTTCATAGAATACCAGCGTAAATGCTGCTATGTTTGTATGTGTGTATAGAGATCCGGAGGCCCTTTTTACTAGAAACGAGGCAGTCCTCAGGGCTGACAACGCATCTGTATTTTGATTCTTAATCGAGAATAATCGAAGATGTCCACTTACCATCAGGTGGATCGTGTGCTCGTTTGCCACCAATTTTTTTTTGAAACTTTTTCAGATTACTTTCAAAGAATTTATAAATCACTACGTGTGGCCTATACCTAATCGCTAATATTGGTAATATTAACATATATGCCGTGGTAACTCAGATGGTTAAAGGGATATAGTAAGTCAGCTCAAATTCTAATTTCGCCCCCACTTCCCTGCTCGTCGTATGCTATGTACTGACATGTTTGTAATCACTAATACTGTAAGTAGATAGGTCGTTGGATACTTATTTCATTAGGTTTATCATATTTATGCCTGTTTCTTAACGCCAACCCAGTCGCTTCTTATTTTTATTACGGTTATTTCCCATTTTAATTTTACGTCGTCCTGTTGCGTAATGTGTATTCTGATCGTAAGCGACACAACCTCCCCCTTCAAAGGCAGGAGCGAAACTGACCGGGCGGCAGGAATCAAGTTTCATTACGCCGATAGTTTAGGTAATTTCTTTTCACAGTGAAAATAATGGTATTTAAAAAAAGTAAATAACATACGCACTGCTTTATAGTTAGTTCAGTTAGTATGCAAAATTTCACGATCTTATTTAAAATATTTTACGAATAACAGCGGTTTATTGTTTATTTTGGAGGTAATTTTGGATTTTTTTATCGAGAAAATTTTACGGAATCGTGTTTTCGTCTAACATAGTCCTTAACATTAATCCTCAACTTTATCATATATTTATTTCAAAATTAATGCTGCAATATTTTCGGCATAACGGAGGATTTTGCTAAGCCATTTGAGGTTATATTTCCCCTTAACGCTCGCTGTAAATATAACAGAACGCGAGTAACTCTGGTTCGATCCCCGCCGGCACCAATGATATTGTTATTTGCAATTTAAAGTGCTGATTTACCACGTGCTCGGCGGTGAAGGAAACCATCGTGAGGAAACCTGCATGTCTGAGGAATAAGAAAAAAAATATTTCGTAGACATGTGAAGCTCGCCAACACGCATTGGGGCCTCTTCCCTAAAACCCTCTCAGAAATGAGGGGAGGCCTGTGCCCAGCAGTAGGACGTATATAGGCTGTAACATTACTGTTTTAATTTTACATATATTACATACTCTATGCGCTCTGCATTGATTGATTCAATTTTTTAATTTTTTGGATATATTTTATTTTACACTTCATGACCTAGAATAATTTACAAGAAATAAAACTGATTTCTTATATTTACGAAAACACTACACATTGATTTAAAATACTTTTACGGATTTTATCGCGTTTAATTTTAATTGAATTTTAATTCCCGATGTTTCGGGTGCTTTCCAGCACGGCATGGTCACCCGGGGGACTGAGGTGACTGACATCGGGACTTCGATGTTAACCCGGAGTACCTCCAGCTTTTTAATTATTGTGTTTATATTATCTATGGTAATTAAAATCAATTAAAATTAAACGCGATAAAATCCGTAAAGGTAGTTTTAATTAAAAAATAATATTATAAATACAAGTAATGTATTAATAAGAAAATCTTCTTTAATTATTACCATTTAGTACAGCCCATCCCTAGTCCACTGCTACTACATCACCTAATTGAATCGATTTTCTCCATAGAATATTATAATACGTACTTACACAATAGAACATCAACAAAGCTCTTTTGACGTCACAGTAGTTGCCTAATTTTTGTGTCAAGCATTGCTGGGTGCAATTTATTTCAAAAACGCCGCTTTGTGCACTAATCACGTGTCAAAAAAACCAGTTGGATGTGGAATTTGATTAAAAGTGGTATATCTTTTCATCAGAAAGTCGAAAATATTTATATTTTGTGAATATTAGAATCAAAATTAAGGAAAAATTGATTTATAAAAACAACAGTACTAGGGATGTACCAAATTTTACTGACACCGGTAAACCGGGGGTATGTTCCGAAATACAACCCAGTACACTGCCAAATGCGAATGACGTCATTAATTGACGCTGTATTCCACCATATTCGATACAACGAGTCACCAATATGGCGTCGATTTATGACGTCATTTGCATTGGCCAGTGTACTGGGTTGTATTTCGGAACATACCCGTAGAAATATTGTCGCTTTTAAAATTGTACTTGGTATGATGACAAGTTATCAAATACGGTGAAAATTAGTAATACTGTGAAAATTAGTAATATAATGACCTACTAATCAATTGTTATAATATTTTTTTTATTAAATTGTAATATTGTTTCTTCTATAGGTATCATTGAAAGTTTTCAATGGAGTTTTTAGACTCAATCTTCTGGTTAGGTACTTATAATTTTACACATACTGTATGTTCACTTCACGCTCAATCATACAAAAAGTGTTGGGTAGACCCACTTTGTTTTTAGAGTGAAAAAATATATTTCATATTATGTAGGTTCATACTTTTTCTTCCGATTCTGCTCTTGCCTGGTGTTGGTTCACCCATACTGTACAACTGCACAAATGGCTTATATATATATATGGTTAAAAAAGTACCATTTTATTGGTACTTTTTAGCCATATATATATATATATATATATATATATATATATATAAGCCATTTGTGCAGTTTTCCTGGCGATCCGAACAAAAAAATGGATAGAAGCCACGGAAGGCTTATCAAATAATTTTTTCAGACTGACTTCTTCATACATCGCAAAAGATATTTGAAGGAAAGTGCAATCCCATGTAAAGAAAATTATATACACAACGTTAGCACCGGTAAATGTAAACCTGTGAAAAGCCTTAATTCAACATCTGAAAATGTGATTGCTCGAAAAAACGAGGCTACAGATGACAGCACTGAAGAAGAAGAAGATATTGAGTCGGTACATATCAAATGAGCTTAAGTCCACCATAGACATTTTCAAACATTTTTGGTAATCCTGATTTAGGCGCCAAAATAAAAAATGCCAGGTTATATCAAATTGACCTAAGTCTACTATTTCACATACAAATAAGGTTCTAAATCTTCGGGATTTTTTCATAACTGCTTAAGTCACAATGGCAGTGTAGATCAAACATGCAAAGTCTTGTTGTCGCTTGGGTTTATTACATTTCATAGTTTTATTCCGGCTGATCGAGTATTTGCCCTTACAGAGAAAACAATAAGACGACTGGAGACTATTATTAGCCCTGAAACCTACATTGATGTGATGTCTTCAAATGCTACCACTCTTTACACACATACCAATTTTTGATTGGAAGACTGCGTGTAAAGATGTGCTAAAAAGCATACAACATTTACACTTTCAGATTAGCAAAACCAAGCGGATTATCATAAAAAAAGACAGAACAAGGCGAAATTTTGGTCAGAGGTGAAATCATAAACAGAAATGATACGTGCTATCCATTGGCAATAACAAAACGTGGCAAATCTATTGCTGGAATTGTGCCGGATAGAACAGAATATCATTTTAATGTTAAAAGTGAAAAATTGCAAAACATTTCGGAGCGGACTGGAGAAACTTGCCAGATTTAGAATATTATAAAAGTGTTCTGTCCCATAATGAAAACTTACCTACGCAGGACGATGCAGTAAACAATAATCCTGAATACCTATTAGAAGATATCCTTAATTTTGTGTAATAAATAAATCATGTTGGAATATCTATTTGTCACCTTATTTTTGGTCTCTAAAATAAATTTGGATTTTTATTTTAGGCATGTGTTTTATTTTTTTATATTAGCCAACCCTGAGTCCGTTCCCTTATTACCCAATTACATCAAAACAGCTTAAGTCACTTTGTGTTTTTTTCATAATTGATTAAGTCCAGTGACAATTAATTTCAAACGAGCCTAAATCCATGATGTCACTATCAAAAATGTCTTAAGTCCCAATTATAAACCACTTTATTTGAATTTCTGATTGTAGTTTTGCCTTTTTCTTTCCTAGTGTTGCCAGTGGATATTATTTTAAATGTATTAAAAGTGCTGCACTCTACTTCTTGGTTTCATATAAGTCAATAATAGAGAACATCGATTTCTCAGAATTAGCTTAGCAGTGACTTGGGCTCGTTTGATGTATACCGACTCATATTAGCTCGAAACGTATTAATCACTCATAGGCTGTAGTAACTGTTTCCTGAAATTATATTTAACCAAGTGGAATATCTTATAAGAAATTATATGTTAAATATATTTGAAAAATATATTAATATTCCATATCATTTCTTGTCTTTCATCTGAGTTGCTAAAAATACCAAATGCCAATTGTTAAACAAATATATTTGTTTCTAAGGTTAATGAAAAAAATATTAATGAATCTATAGAAAATATCATAAACGTGCTTTAAACATTTTCGGCAAACAAAAATTTGGCAAATAGATCCTCTAACGATTACTATTTTAGTTATTTTCGCATTCGTTGGAACGTATTGCAATTTGTTGATGTTAAACAACTTAGACAAACAGATCAACTCATTATAAGGCAACTAATAATAAAGAAATACTAATTTCAAGGATTAAATGAATACTTTCGTCCGCGCGGAAGTCGGTCATACCACGTTATATAAAGTAAATTTTGAGGATAAAAGGTAGCCTAGCCTTTTTAATGTTTCCAGCTATCTGAATACCATATATGGTCAAAATCTATTGAGTTGTTTAGCTTTTCCGTTCAAAACTCTTTCCCCAAGTAATAACGGCCAATGTTGTAAAGCCTACTTAGCTGTGACAAAGCTTTTTTACTTAATCAGCCATCGAACCATCTCAATTTTATCAAAATCAGTTTAGTTATGAAAGCTGGACAGATTTTCGCATTAAAATAGAAAAGTACGGATTTATAAATTTTAACAGCGGATAATGTTTTTGTCTTATATTTTCTGAAGTAAAATTAAAAATTGACAATATTAAACAATAGATAACAAAATGTTTAGAGATTATATATACATTTCATATACAATCACTGAACATGTTGTTATCTATTGTTTAATTGAACCTAATTTTGGACTTTTTAATCGTAAAATTTACAAATAGTAGTGTATTGGAACATAAAAAACATTTTACTGCATATTAAATTAAAATTGAATACCTTAGTATATAGCAAATATTATTGAACTATTTATATACTGATTGATTGATGAATATATTATATTGACTATCATGAGTGTATCTGAAGATAATCCTCTTTCGCCTATATACGCACACACACACACACACACACCGCACATGCACACGCCCACGCCCACGCACACGCACACGCACACGCACAACGCACACGCACACGCACACGCACACGCATACACACACACACGCACGCACGCACACACACGCACACGCACACACACACGCACGCGCACACACACACACACACACTCATATATATATATATATATATATATATATATATATATATATATATATATATATATATATATATGATAGTGGGCGCAAATATACTTGCGTTACACAATGATTTCAAAAGGAAGGATAGGCCCATCTACATATTTTACTTATTACTTTTTCATGCAAGAAAAATTAGCAGAGTAAGCATCTACCACGATAAAAACTCTATGCTCCAGAAGCAATCGGTTTGAAAACAGAATTTCAAAATATTTTATGAATCAGATTTTCAGATTCAATTAAGCAGATATGGTTTCGTTTGTACTCTTTTCGTTTTACCCTCATTGAATATAAAATATATTAGGTACCAATATTCAAAATTTAACTTACACTAAGTTCTTTAGACAAAAATTAAACAGAATTAAAAAACGAAACCGTCAAAAAACGAAACGTAATGACAGTGGTGAAGCTAGAGCTCCAAGCTAGGGCAAGCCCAAGATATAAATAGATAAAAATATAGATTGTTCTTTTTAGCAGTTTTATAAAAATATACCAATCTTGATCTGTCTCCACGCTTCAGTTTCATATTCAGTGCTGTCAAGGACGTGTTTAACAAAGCACACAGAAGGCATACCACTGCTAGATAGATTGTATTACATATCAGCAATTGCATAGCTTCGGTGGCTTTGAAGAAAGCCGTTTGGGTTTGTTTAAGCGAAAGAAAAAAAATATTTACATCCAATACAATACATGAACAAACACAAACAAAGTACAAACAAACTAAATACAGTGAATTTCATTAATAGCGACCTCTACGTGTAACGACTTTTCGGTTATAGCGACGTCAAACTTACGTCCCTTGAATTTAAAGCATACTTTCGTAAGAAATTCATTCGGTAATAGCGACTTCGGTTATAGCGTCAATTTTGGGTATAGCGACTTGTTTTTATGAACCATTTATGACCGATTCCTAGAAATCCCTTGCCGATATTGCGACTGAGTCCGCAAAGGCACAAAGACTCATTCATAAAACTATTAAGCTTTCTTATCCTTTGTTTACATTCACAGATGGTCAAACTAATGCTTTGTTTGTTTGTAGGACTACCTAGCATGTTTACGAAGTTAAACTTATGAATCAGACATAGCAATTCCAGTGAGTGCACAGTGTTTCTTAAACTTGTGAATGAGCCATATTCTAGACATACATTTACTGTTAAAGAAAAAGTGGACATCATTTCTAGACTGCAAAATGGAGAAAACCTGAAAATAAAGAAAAACCGTAATGCAACTCATCAAGATATTGAAAATACTCTCCTAGTGTGGTTTAAAGCTCAGAAAAGCCAAAATGTGGGACCCATAAGCGGTCCTTTTTTGCAAGAGAAAGCTAATCATTTTGCCAGACAGCTCGGGAAAACAAACTTTGTATGTTCAGATTGGATTTACAGATTTAGACAACGTCATAATATAGTGGTCGGTAAAGTTTGTGGAGAAGCCGCCAGCGTGTCACAAAATGACTGTGACAATTGAGAACAGTTTTACCAAAATTAACTGAAGGGTATACCGACAGTCAAATATGCAACGCTGGTGAGACGGGATTATTTTTTAATTGACTCCAGATAGAACACTAAAATTCAAAGGAGAAAAGTGTGCTGGCAGCAAACTGTCAAAAGATAGAATAACCATGCTTATTATTGCTTCAAGTATGGCAGGCGAAAAACGAAAATTGTTGGTTATAGGGAAGGCAAAAAAACTAAAGCGTTTCAAGAATGTAAAAACTTTGCAAGTTAAACGATTACGAAGCCAACAAAAAAGCGTGAATGACATCGGAGATTTTTGAAAAAATTTTACGGAAATGGGACTCTCAGCTAACAGGAAACAAAAGAAGATCATTTTATTTATTGACAATTGTCCAGCTCACCCACATATTCAAAATTTGACTAACATCAAACTGGCATTCTTACCACCGTGTTTGGTGGTCAGATCAGTTATTCAGCCTATTTATCAAAGTATAATTAAGACTCTTAAAGGCCATTATCGAAAGCTTCTAGTGGAGAAAATGGTAAACGACATTGAAAAAAGTACTACCCCATTTGCCGTCAATCTTCTGGATGCCATTGAAATAACAACAATAGCATGGGCGCGAGTTACTCCAGACACAATAATAAAATGTTTTTCACATGCTGGGTTTGGTAAATTTTCGAATTTAAATACAACTGATGACGATTCTAATGATGAATTGGACAATTTGCCATTGGCGAGATTATCATCAGCGGAAGCAACAGTTACGGATTGGGAAACTTATGTGAATATTGACGATCAAGTTATCACTACTGATAACTTGACTGATAATGAAATTATTGAGTCTGTGCTTCAAACACAAGAAAAGGAGGATGAAGAAGAGAAGAAGATTGCAATCTAAATGAGATTCCAACAACTAGAGATGCATTATGTGCTATAACAACGCTCAAAATGTATTGTTTATTTGGTGAAGGCCAGAATAATTTAGATGTTGAAGGAATTATGAAAATGGAATACACCTTACAGAGTGGACAAAAAACTAATCTTAAACAGTGCACTATAACACGTTTTTTCAATAACACCCGTGTATAACATAATTAAATAAATGATAAGTAAATATGTACATGACTTTTTATTATTTCGGATATAGAGACCTCCGGATATAGCGACGACATTAAAGTGGTACCTCCGCCGTCGTTATAACCGAAATTCACTGTATGTACAAAATTAAAAAAACATATTATTTACATTCTAATGGATAATAGATAAGATAAGATAAGTGGAATCGTCTCGCTTTCTTATGGAAAGATTTAATTACGTCCACGTAAAATGTTGGTGAACGTTTTAATTGTACCATTAACTGTTTTTTAATTGCGATAATTGATAAGTCTGAAATACACTCTTAACCTTGTGTATTATCTCAACAAAGTTTAAAGATTTTCTCTCGGATTAGCACTTTAACACACTTCAATTTATCACAAGGGACACTATTATCCTCCATTTAAAAAAGCATAAATTTTGAACCCGTAATATCACACAGAGTAAATAAACATTGAAACGTGAAATGAACTTGCAAACGTATTGCCCGCGCGCCTCCGCTTTTACAAATTTATGCCCAAAAGCCTGGCTTTAAATCTCTATACTAATTGCTATATATACAATCGTAGTTATATTTCATTACAGAATATTTTGCCATTGGTTAGAAAGAGAGCGATCGTCTTCTCGAAAGCCCCGTAAAAAGCCCACGCGAGCGAGGGAGACAACTAATCGCTCTATTAAAACTCATTTTTTATGACAGCAGCAGTATCGCTAAGGCAATACGAGGTCATCGGTCGACATGTGTCGAGCAGTGGAGTGCGCGGGAAATTTGAAATAGCTTGAAACATTTTACGAGTTATTTCATTAGTTGATATTATTGATTGATTCAGGTTTAATAAGGCAAGCCCGGCTTTTCGGCTTTTATGGAAGCTTAGCCACTGAGTAATGATAAACTAGACGCGTGACGCCAAAATCCCGGCACATGGGAAAAAAGAAACATGAAACGTCAAACGTGATATAATTTTATAAAAATAGTATAATTTTAATTTCCATGTACAATATTTTTGAGGGTCTGAATCTAACCCTGGACTAATCTTCGTAACGTAACTAAACTAGCTGTAAAATAAAACTTTAAAAATGCGTATATAATAATTTAATTGTAACAAAATTAATATAAAGTTATTTACCGATGATACGATATCCCATGTTTTTTTTTAAATCTTTGTATCGTTATTTTTGCATTCTTTTACCACCCAACTAGACATATTTATGATCAATAGAAGATATACGCTTTAAAACATACTTTCTTGTAGATATACTAACATCCTCAAATATACAATAATCGTAAACGTGCGTCGTAGAACTGGACGGCACCTTTTTCTCAAGTCTTATACAGCCGCAAACTAGTATAGTAGTGCAAATGTGTCCTTTCAATCAGCCACACGTGGCGTGGGCCGGTACCACATTATCTCTTCGACCAACTTCACACAAATCCAACCCTCAACATCAAATATTGATAAGCCTGGACCGAACGAACCGAACTCATTAGAAAACAAAAATGCCACTCATTCTCTCAATTCATAGTGTGTAAAAGTTCTACAATTCCCCATACACCGCTAAATATTTCGAATTTTAAAATGTACCCCTTGTAAATCATATGTGCACTGTACGCATGACCATAAAACTGAGATAACAATTCCAATAATAACTTAAAAAGAAATGATTGTTTAAGGAATTCACACACACACACTGTTTATATATGTGTATAGGGACAAAGGGGGAAGGGAGGACAGACGCTGTTTCCTTAACTGTGGTTTTGGGATGCATTTTGTTAGTTTGTAAAACATTATCTGACGATCTTTTAAAGCGAAGAGTTTAGACTTAAATCGATGGACTATAAGCCCTGAAATCTCCCCTTAGAAGTTCAACAGTCCTTTCTCAGTCTGGATTATGCAAAAGTTGCATTGAATTTTTTTACTCACGGTTGAGATTTGCAATATTGCTAATACTCGTGATAAAACGTCTCCTTTACGTTTATATATACCCACGCATACATGCTATAAAACATACTTTGTATAATAATAATTACGGAGTAATAAATCTTTTGGCTCTGTTCCCGCCAATTTTTTACAAAAAAAAAATCATTATGTATATTGTGTCAAGACACAGAGAAATTACTTACAAGTAAGTTATCTACAACTGTTACTAACTAGCTAGGCTAGCAACTGTTACCCATATCTTCGTCACTTGTGATACGATTTACTGTAGAGACAACGAATATCAGGTCCGTCTAAGTCGATCAACAGCTGTCCCTACGAGCCAAAGGCCTTCCACCACACCATCAGATGTTCGTCGCTCACAACTCAACTCACAAGTAAATCGCAGTTACAAGTACGCACCAATGCGTGCAATGCGACCAAATAGTTAAAACGAGTGCGGAGTGAGTAGCGGAGCTCCCGCAGGAGGGCGCCGCCCCCTACCTTCTTATAGTGGCCTAGTGGCCAGGGAGGCGACCCCCTCCTCCTATTGTCGAGCATCCGATCACCGGGTGATGTTGTGCCCGAAATGATTGAGTAAGCCGGTTCCAGCGAGACGAACCCTCGCCAAGGAGCGCCGCTGGTGCTACTCGTGTTTGGAAAGGCATCTCCAACGAGACTGCCCGCACCAGCGGCCCTGTCCGCACTGCCAGGGCAATCACCATACCGTTTTGTGCCTGGGTGTGAACGGCGCTTCCTCTCGGGGCTCTGCCGGTTTGTCGTTAATATACGTGACTACGAGGCTTTTTGAGTTTTGATTGACTATTTTAACTTCGATTGCTATTAATTTGCGTCGACAAGTGGCTTGTGTATTTAATTAAAGTTAAAATAAATTAGTTAATATTGTACGAAGGAATTTTGCTTTGTCGTGTGGGACGCTAAACTTTGTGATCCGGAGGAGATAGCGTTCCCTCCGATTATATATGTGCTAAGTGACGTTGGACTAGAGTTCCGATAGCGGCTAACGCCCTCTGGAGTGATTGCACAAGAGGAGCTGGGCAGCGCATGTGGTTCTGCTATCTGATTATATCGGTGACGTCAGGTTACATTATACACTTTCCTACACCACTCACACATATCATTTACTTGCCCCTGACGACGCCTTATGGTCGATCGTACACTCCGGGATTCGGTAAGTTTGTGTTTGCTTATACAGCCGTTATAAATTAATTATCCATAGGCCATTTGGGGCCCGACCCTTGGTTGTTCGTCGAGTTGGAATACTGATGGTCCCTAGTCAGGTCGACTTTTGTCGGGGTAACTGAGGGCCGTAACACCTAGTCTTAGTTTTTTTAAGTTTCCTTTGGGTCTGGACTCAACAAATGGCCTTAGTTGAGGCTCTGAGAAAATTCAATCCCCAACAACTGAAGGCGGTCAGTATACTTATTTATTTATTTATTTATTTAACTTCATATACACATTAGATGTATATAGGCGGACTTAATGCCTGAGGCATTATCTACCAGTCTACCTTAGAGTAGTGCAGAGATAAAAGAGGTAGGTGTAATAAGAAGTATGTACAATACATATATACATATATACATTTACATATACATATATACACATATATAAACTCATACATATATAAGCGTATAAATATATACATATATAAACATTGTGTAAGTATATATACATATATACATACATACACACACACACACACACACATATATATTAAATATAATATTAAATACTGCTAACTACGAACGCTAAGTTGATTCTGCCATTTTATTGACGAGCATTTCTCGCACTTTAGACTTGAACGTAATCCGGTTTTCGGCACTCCTGATTTCGGAAGGAAGAGCGTTCCAAAGAAGAACAGATTGAACAAAGAACGATGATTGAACAAAGTTAGTACTAAAAGGGGGGCACTGAAGCAAAAGGTAATTACTAGAACGGAGAACTCTATCATGATTGGAGCTAAGATATTGAAAATGAGGAGTTAAATAAAATGGAGGATTAGGAGACATCAAGATAGAGTAAAGAGTAGTGAGTGCACGTAGACTACTGAACTACTGAAGACTACGAATGGGTAACCAGTTGAGTTGAGAGCGATAAGTAGACACATGATCATACTTTCGAATATTAAAAATGAATCGAATGCAGTTATTAAGAAGACGGTCATATTTGTTCAGGAGTTCTGCATTCAGGTCAAAATAACACACATCACCATAGTCAAAAATGGGAAAAATTAAGGTCTGCACAATAATCGTCTTGGTCCTGGACGGGAGAAAGTTCTTCAGGCGGTAGAGAGAACGCAAAATACCTGTCACTTTCTGACAAACATTTGACACTTGAGTTTGCCAGCTCAAGGTGGAGTCAATGTGCAATCCAAGGTCTTTCACGGAATTACTCAGTTCTAAAATAAAACCGCTAAAAATGATCGGTGGTAAAGCTGTGGCATCCAGTTTCTTTATCATCCGTTGGCTACCTATTATTATAGCCTGACATGTGGAGGGGTTAACTTTAAGACCAAACTTATCAGACCAGTTCTTTATATACTCTAGGTCCCTATTAAGAGACTCAATTGCTGTAGATATACAGTCGACCTTCGCGTGTGAGTACAACTGCAAGTCATCAGCATACAAATGATACGCACACTGAAGATTTGGGGTAATGAGATTTATAAATATTGAAAATAACAATGGAGATAGAATACCGCCTTGAGGAACACCAGCATGCAAGTCACACCAACTTGATGAGGACTCGTCAATGCGAACTGACTGCCGGCGGCCTCGAATATATGATGAGAACCACTCCAAAGCCTCAGATGAGATCATAGAGAGTGAAAGTATTGATAATAGGATGTCGTGACTGATGGCATTAA